ATATATATATATATATATACATACATACATACATACATACATACATACATACATACATACATATACATAATACGAACATGGCAGATGAAAGGTGGGCAGGTGATGTGCAAACCGATAAAAATTCTGTGGTATGAATAAAACTTTTTTTTTTTCGTTTATATTTATAATGTTATATTTAATGATTTAATGAATGTAAGTGCAACTCATGCATGTAATTTTTTTTTTTGCTTTTTACGGCAGAAATTCTTGTTTCCCAAAGATGGTATAGATTCATACATATGGTGTAATGTCACCTTCCGTGAGTAGTGTAACATTGCATTCCAAAAATAGTGTAAGAATGCACTTTGAATATGATATAAAAATGCACCACAAACGGTGCAACAACACCTCCCAAAGATAGTGTAACAATACTCCTCCGAAATGATATAACAACACAACCCGCATATGATGCAACATCTCCCTAAGACAGTGAAACAATGCACATCGAAGACAGTGAAACAATGCACATCGAAGACAGTGAAACAATGCACATCGAAGACAGTGAAACAATGCACATCGAAGACAGTGAAACAATGCACATCGAAGACAGTGACTTTCTCCATGCTCCTAATGCTCTCTTCTTACAGCTCACCATCTTGGTCTACATGATCCACAACTTATGCAACTCTCAATTTTGATTTCTGCAGCCTATGGATGTCATCACAGCTTATCACTAAGAACGACATGACTAACTATAACCTACGTAGTTCATATCTCATGCAGCTCTCGACTCTGTGGTCTCCAGCCTATGGTTGTCATCACAATCCACAATTACAACATACACGACTAACTACGATCTACTTGGCCCACAACTCATACAACTCCCGACTCTGATCTCTGTGGACTGCTAACATCATCATAACTCATTTTTATGACATATGCGACCAACGATAACCCATTTGGTCCACAACTCATGCAACTATCAACTTTGGCATTTATATTTGCGGCATACAGAGTTTATCACAGCTCACTGCTATGCCCTTTATGACAAACTACGACCTACGTGGTCTACAACTCATGCAGCTCCTGACTTTGACCTTAGTGACCTACGAACGTCATCACAGCTCACAACTTCAATCTACATGACCAGCTAGGCCTACACAGTCCACAACTCTAACAGTTTCGAACTCCTGCCTTTGCGGCCTACATATATCATCACAGCTTACCACTACGTTTTTGTGACTCATAGCTCCTGTAGCTTTCTGCCACAATCACTATAGTCAATTGATGCTCTTGAAGCAATCTTCTTCAACTCTCATGGATAACTACTACCATGACATCCAACTACAACCCATACAACAATCTTGAGCTACAACTATTATCTACAGCATTCACGCTACAACATTCACGACGGACTACTGTCTCCATATTAATCGACTATGACCCTTAAGGTGTGCTATGACCGAGAACTACAGTCATTACAAACAAAATACATCTATTATCAATGAATTGTTATTATACATTTACAATGATCAACTTTATAACACCATATTTCATAATTCCAAAAAATAGGGAACTATGTACCCATCATTATTAGTGGACTATATCAGTTCAGCCAAGCCTTATATTTTTCTCTTTTTCAAGCTTTTCCTCGTAGAAATTTGATGCGTCTCCTCGTACTTACTTATCTTTAATTACCTGAGTGTGTGTTGAATTTTTAAGCCTTATATTTTTCTCTTTTTCAAGCTTTTCCTCATAGAAATTTGATGTGTCTCCTCGTACTTACTTATCTTTAATTGCCTGAGTGTGTGTTGAATTTTTGTACAATGCTAACATGATAATTTATTACTCTACCATCTCGAACCTTCAAGTATGCATCATACATGATATTTTTTCTCGAGTTACTATGATTTAGAATTATAATTATCCAGCCAAATTAGTCTGAATACTCAATATGTTAACTTGTTAAATAATCCAGTATAAATGAAAGTAAGAAGAGAGATATACCATAGATGATCGATATTATACACAAAAGAAAATGTACTTTGACATATCTTTGATTTAAACTTTAATTTTTACAAATTTTTCGTTGTTTTTAAGTATAGATAAATTTTTAATAAACATATAATTAAAATCATTAGTAATCTAGAGATAATAATTACGATTTAATTTACATCTACCTTCCTTCCTACTTTAATAATTCCAAAATCCAGGTCGTGACATTTCTCCATTATTTTGTCAGAGGATTGATTGTATAGATAATCTGTAATATTATATTGCATCACATAATCAAATTAGTTGAATATTTCCTAAATTAGCTTCATGAATGTTATCCCAATCATTATATTAAATTAATTACTGATTACAATTAAGGGAATAGAATAGACGTGTTTTAATAGTTTGGTATGAGCCATATAAATTTTGTGTAAGGAGGGGTCCCCAATCAACCTCCAATATTTTCTCCTGGACCGTATGAAAGGCTTATCATTCTTTCCTTGCCCCACACGCTTTATGCTCATTTGTTTCTTTATACGACTTTTCCTCTCCACTTCCTCTCCTCAATCCTCAGACATCTTCACGTGATCACCTCCCATCATCTCCCCACATCCGCCCGTCATTAAAGGACATCAGCAATCCCAATTGATTATTTGTTATATACATCTATATATATATGTAGATCTATATATGATTTTTTTAAATAGTATTGATATCTCTCACATGAAGATTATGAATTTTAATGGTCTCCAATCCTAGCAAGTTTTGCATTCACGCATGTTGCATGTCCCCCCATGTCATCATATACGCAGACATGAATGAACCCGAACAAGTGGAGGTACCATGATTAACTCATCCACGAGTAAACATAGTTTCAGCAATATCTTTATATCGAAGATATATGATATTGCTTCATGGGCTTTTTCCTCATAAGTAATAATTAAAAGTATATTACTGAGATATTTTTTGTGTGATATATTAAGTACAGGAGTTGCATGATGTATGAGTCGGTGGCGGGCTACATCATCTATAATAATTTTTCTTAAGGTGTTGATTTGAATGCAGGGAGGTCTTAAGAATTTTTTTTTAGATCTTCTTTATGGCATATACAGTACATAAAGTGAGTATTATTTGCCTTCTGAATTGTATTCATGAAAAAGGCAGTATTATTCATGCATGTGGATATATAGTTTGGAAGAAGACAGCGTGATTTGTTCAGTTCATAAGGAGAATTTAATCAACTGTCACTGTATCAACAACAACTAAGCAGCAATATTGTTCTTGTTTTCTGTACATTAGTTACAAGCAACCATCTGCGTAAGTAATGATTGAGAGCTACAAGTTTTCTTACACGGTACAGATCGAATTGATTAATACATAACAGATCCTGACTAGGACTTATAAGCTGGAAAAACTAACACTAAATACTGTTCCTCAATTCATACAACAGAAGTGCAAGGCTATCATATTTGCCTTGCCTTGATTTCCTTCTTCTAAGCTAATAATTCATCTCCAAATACTTAGTAGCTATAAACACCATCAACAAACACACTGGTGGGTTGTCTGTATCTTCAGTTCATGTCGATTAAAGCTAACAAGTAGTAGAGTGAGCAAAAGGATTGAACAAATGTTGCTGCGACGTCATGAATGTGCCCCTGCTGATGTCGTTGCCATCTGCGGCTTTGTTGGCCACTCCAACACCGGCTCCGGTGACCCTCTCGCATGACGGGCAAACCATGAGAGTGGCGGCCGGAAGCTGCATGAAGAGAGGTGGTGGAGGGGTTGAGAACTTGATAGCCTTTAGCTCCTGAAGCTCCTTCAGTAGCCTTCTGTTCTCTTCAGTTAGGGTTTCACAACACCTTCTCAGGAACTCGCAGTCCACCTCTGTCTGCTTTAATTTGGTCCTGTAATACATTTATTATTGAGGAAGAACTAGATGTTAGTTGATTTGTTTAGTTTTATATGATTAAAGTGTTCATAGTATGATGATCAGATAGCTTAATATATTAATTTGTTCTGGGCACTTGGCGCATGTTTATCTACTAATTGTATATTAATTTGTACTTGACATGATCTCAATATTTAATTAACTCTCCTAACATGATTATTAGCTACGCATAGTAAGCAACCCAAACCATATCAAATGAATTGATTATAATAGGAGGTGGAGAAGGAGATTAATTAATTGGTCATACCTTGCTCTTCTGTTCTGGAACCAAACTTCAATCTGCCTTGCTCTTAGATTCAGTTGCTTGGCCAACGTTTGCTTCTGTTTCTGATTATCATACATAGTACAAAATAGAAGAAATATATATACTGAGTCAGGTAACATGAGATTTACATTTATCATATATAGATCAAAAGAAACTCCTTCATTTATTTCAATAATAAAAGTAGGAATAGATAAAAAAAGAAACGGGATTTACAGGATTAAGAGTACTATGCTCCTTGAACCTGTCCTCTAAAAGGGCAGACTGTTCCTTGGTGAGCCTCAGCTTCTTTCTGGCGGCGGCTGAAGCTTCATCTTCCTCTTCCCTTTCCCTTTCCCTTTCCCTTTCCCTTGCTCGTGAAGAAGAGCCTCTCTCAACCTCTGTCTCCTCACCACCAACATCAAGTTTCTCCTTCTTGATATTAGAGGTTGAGAAAGAAGAGATTGTGCTATGGGGAGAAGATAGTCTGGCCTCCTTCGGCGTTGTCGTCGAGCCATAGATTTCTTCGGAGAGGCTAAGAGTCAGGGATGGCTCTAGCGGCGGTGGCGGGGGGTTCAGTTGCTGTTGGCGGATAATAGTCGGCAAGCCCAGGCCAAGAGAAAGGTCTGTATCACAACTATCTCCCCTCTCCATCAAAAATAAGTGCCTTCTTGCTATAGTTCTTGTTGGAGGGAGGAGATGGATGAAGGGAGAGAGAAAGATAAAGAAAGAAAAGTAGCTTTGCAGATATATTATTGAGGAAAGAAGGGGAAGGAATGAGGAGGGGGGGAATGAGTAATGGTGAGGGTTGGGAATATATACCTGAATGACATGGATGAGGTTGCCAAGGTTGACAAAAACCAAAGAGAAGACCGGCTTCCTCGGACTGAAGAAGGACTAATGTGGAAGGAACTGAAAATAGGACCTATGCTTTTTGTGCACATCAAGCGTGTGAATAATTATTTAAGAAAAAAACAATTATTATTATTATTATTAGTTCTTTAAAATCGATGGTTTCGCACAGTGATTTAATAAATAATTGATTAATTTCATGAGGAGTAAATAATATTGATTAATTATAAGTCATGGTGGACCTGTATATAATTAATGGAGGAACCAATGAGGGGCGGGCAGCTGAGCGTCAGCACGTGTAAAAGAAATTCCAGCAACTTGCGTGGAACTTTGTTTAGATATGCATTGACTTCGATTCCACTCCACAGCCCATTAGCTTAATTATGTGCAAGCATCCATGATTAGGAAATAATTACATCATTAGAAACAGAAAAAGTAAATTATTAAAAAAATAGATAACAAAAAGATTTATTTAATCAGCACCAAAATAAAACATAACTTAGTGGGGGACACACCCGACCTTTTATAATTACTTAATTATCTCTTAATTAAACCCAAAAAAAAAAAAAAACCCATCTTTACAATTCACACGCCACTTGTTTAATTGGTGGACATGGGACCCAGGCACCGACGGCCCCATCCTTTTCAAGCAATAGCAATTGTAGTTTTGCCACGTGGATTGATGACTTGGGCCGGCACGATGGCCCACCAATGATTTGCTATCATGCGTTTTTGATCCCCATAGAAAACGGGATTTTAGCAGAAAGTACAGAAATGAAGACAAAGTTGGGTAGATGCATGCCACAATTTTAGGGGCGATAAATAAAAAAAAAAAAGTGACATTGTGATACTGCAGTTAACCTAAACTATAATAAAAAAAAATATATATATATATATATATATATATATATAATCTTTATTTTTCTTATACGGAAAAAAAAAAAAAAAGCTAAAGGCGCATAACAAAGTTGTCAGATATTTTGTTCGATATTGTTGCCTTTATTTATATTTTATGATGAGGTTGAATAAAATGAATAAATATTTTAATTTATAAAGTACTTTAAGAGTTGTAGTTATAACAAAAAAAATAAAAATATAAATAATTTTATTTTGATGCTATGAAGCAAAAATAGGCAACGGAAAGTTGTAGTGAACATAACTTAACTTATTATTTTATGAGAGACAAAAGCTGATTATATAAATGCAGTGAAAACCATAAAATGATGTTATTAATTTGAAGGCATGATTTGGCTAAACGCTTAGATTGTCATGGCATATCCTTTTCTAGCTACTAACATCCATTGACCAGTGATCATTGTAGCTCATGTGACACGTCATTGGAAAATTTGGATCATTGTAGCTGGATTCAATAATTATTTATGTGACACTATATATTCTCTTTTTTGAATAAATCAGAAGAAAATATACATCATCAATGACTCGTCTCTTTCTTCATAAATATTTTTCTATAAAATTTTATCTTAAAAATGATTTGTTTAATAATCTATATGTATGTATATACCGATTTTATACTATATACATGTTACAATTTGAATTTTTAAGACAACGGTAATTGGCTGGGTCGATTTGTTTGAGTTTGGTTGTTTGATTTAACCTGTCGAGTCGAGACTATGCCTTCCGAAGTGTGTGTCGGTCGGTCGAGGAGCTCAGCCGTCGTTGACATCAATTTTTTATGTCACAAATTTCAGATGCCCATGTAATATTGTGGGAGCATGAGGCGCTCACGCATGCCCTCCCATAACTCAAGGAATCCGTCGGGATGTTACCAGATGCACGCCGTCTCCAGATATGGGTCACCCCGACTGGTCGTGCCTAATAGGGACTACCATTAATTCGTGATATTCCCCCTATTCTAAGGAAAGTTTTAACTATCATTCTAAAGCCTGTATAGTCTAATTCGATCATTAAGAGTTTTTCATGTCATGAATTGCGCTTACTGGACCTTCGAAGTGAAAAATGACCCATAAGAGTCTTGCATGACCATGCCCAAATCAGGTGTGGCCACACCTAATCCCTCCCCATAAGAGTTGAGGAGGATACTTTTGGCATAGTCATGCCTGAAGGCGGCGTGATCACACTGCAAGATAGAACCCACATCGTAATTACACTGTGGAACGGAGTGGCCACTCAGAACGCCCAATAGTTGCGTGAAGGCTGCCTTCAGGCAAGTCATGCCTGAAGGCAGTGTGACCATCTTGGAAGATAGTGAGCCTGACGTAATTACGTCACCGTTTCCTGGAAAATTTAATGTCAAGTCACGACTCGGTAACAATTTAGGAGTGGTCAATCAAGGATAGCGTTGTAGGTCGGTGAAGACTCTACTATGAGGAAATTCTTCTGGCTGTTATGCCGCTTCCTGGTTTTCCTCATGAGATGGTGATGACGACAAGGCCTAGTGCTTCCTTTCTTTCCCCGATGAATCCGAACAACATACCGGTCATTGAGTTAACCGATCGACCTTCAGTTTGATCTTATCGAACAATGTTCTGAATAAGATACCTGAACTTCTTGTATCAACTAGAATACTACTCACCTTGTAGTTGTTGATCAACTCTGTGATAATGATTATCTCATTGTAGGGATTCCTCTTTTGTGGGAGATCTGTGTCTGTAATGACAACTGGTAAATGGTTACATGTGAATGGAAAAAAGGAGCATACCTTTCCCGAACGTTGTCTCTATGAACCAAAGGGTCAGGATCCTCTTCTAAAGATGACTGGTAATCCCTGCTACGCGGACCTTGTTTGCCCTAATAGGTATGTTAGAGGGATCTCCTGCTGAA